TCAGCGCTCAATTTTGCAGCGTGGTTGGTACCCTAATTCAAGTGGATGACAAAATATAAATGTCGTTATTGGGAGCTCGTTGATGAGCCAGGCATAATATCAGAAGCCTGGAATACTCACGTTCGAGTATGCAACATGTTGATTTTAATCCAATTTACTGGCATGCGATCAATTTCGGTGCAATCTTGAATCCACCATGCGACCAGTGACAATGAGAGGAGGCCAACACAGGGTGTGGACTTGCGGCCTAGTATAGTGGAAACCAAGGTCATCCATTACATCTGAATCGGCTGTTTTTATGGCGACTCGATGGGGAAGGCAATGGTGGTCCACAGCTCATCGAGCAAGTGGACAAGCATAATGCGTCCACTCGCAAAGCAAAAATCCCACAGAAGCTTGATATAAGATAGGTCAGCGATGTATTCAAACCTCATACTTTCCCAGCCTTGCTCAATATGTTTGTCTGGATCACTGTCAGCACACTACCTTAAATCTAGCGAACTGCGACTTACCGAATCCTATGGGCTTTGGCGTAAAACAGGTCATCGATGAGCCCGAACTTCGTATTCTCCCATCTGGGTTGTTGTTCAATATGTCGTCTGAATCCCTTGTGAGCGCAATATCTTAAACCCAGCGAACTGCGACCTTACCAGGTTCCGTGGGCTTGGGTATAAAACAGAAGATCTATGGACTCGAACTTCCTACTCTCCCGCCTCAATCCTTGGTGAGCACACTATCATAAATCTAGCGAACTGCGACTCACCGAGTCCCGTAGGTGTCTTCTAAAGTCGACACAGTCCCACTTAAACTCTATAACATCAAAGTTGTCCAATTTTGGCGAGGCGAGAGAAGAGCCCCTGCGGCTCTATCCCCTCCACTGGGCGATCTACGTTGAAAACCAGTCCTGGAATAGGGAACACCTATCAGCTTGTAGGTAACCAAACAAACTACGCCATCGATATCAGATTCAACCAGCGTCTCGAAAACTCGGAGGACTGGCGTGGAAGTTATTCCGTAGGAAGCGTAAGCTCGACGGAGCTCGCCGAAACGGAGACAATCCTCCAAAGAGTTGACATCATACACAATCTTCCCAGCTGGAACAGCCAAGATTGGGTAGACGACGCTCTCAGATATCTCAAGTGTTGGGGTTTTTCTGACATCATCGGAGAATTGGAGTTGGCGAATCTACAAGACAGAATGTGTTGGCTGCTGGAGTCTTGGCCCGGGATTCAGAACGCGGTGGAATTTGTTGGTGACTCGGAGGGTCTAGCGTGCGTCCTATCGAATCGACGTTCTGTGGAAATCCACCGATCCTTCTGGAAGATGCAAGTCGAGTTGGAACGGATTCAACGGTTGTGGCGTTCGACTCTACCTGCAAGGCGTTGAGGAAATTTGGGGTATAGAGACAGTTTCGTACTCTGCATTTGTAATTTTGTATCATTTATGATTAGTGATTCAGCGTCACGTCCCTTAATATTAAGGGTGGAAGTCACTAGTGAAACCTTTGAGTCATCAACGTTTCAACGTTCAACTTGTATAGAGCTGAAATCGTACTGTGTATTGTGCATGTGCTGTCCAGACTCGGATGCCTCGCCCGTGAAGTTGAGGTGGTGTATACAAAAAAGGAAAAGCATATTACATAATATAGATGCCTCAAGACCTGAAACGGTATCACGGTGCACCTTGATATAAGCATATGATAGGTGCGACGGAGACGAGTGAGATGCTTCGCTATATTCTCAACTTGAGTACAGTTTTTCTGTCATATCTCAACTAGATTTTCGGATGTTCAGCTTATATCTCAGAGAGAGTGCGAACTAGTACTCATCTCTGGTTCACCTCTACCAGTGCAGCGGTCAGTGGTTCTGTCTGGCTGTGCAATAGTATGGCCGCCGCAGCACAGCAGCCTGATGTCCTCTTGTATTACAGCACTGGATGGCGGGCACCTACTCATCCTTCAAACTAGTGCATTCCACAACCATCCAGCAAGCTTTCCATAGCAAAATAGATTGAAACATCCTTACATCCATCCCATCTTAAGCTTCATCACACTTTGCACTCTTCATCAATTGACAACTGGATCGCTCCACAACCTACTAGTAATCACAACTTACAAGCTTGGATTCAAGTCCTCGTACATCTGAGTCCCTCCAGATAACTATTGCCCAGATTATTTCTAACCACATCCTCGAACCTGGCTAGTACTTTCAGTTGTTCATTGGATCTTGTAGCATATCACAACTTTCGTCAATGAGTGACGATCAATGTCAGTAATTCCATCTCTTATCTCTTGCATGCTCTCTAACCTCTCTGACAGTTTTTGAAGGAACTTGGGCAAGGCTAGCCCAGGTCGCTGTCAAAGGTGCTCAATATAACTCCTGTGAACATCAGCCCCACCTGAAATGTTTGGATGGAACCTGGGTTGATCTCCTTAAATACATCCACGAATTACTGGACGACCCAGAAGAGAATCAACTCATTTGGCTGCATGGCATGGCTGGTGTCAGAAAGTCTGCTGTTGCATTTACAGTTGCTGAAAATATGAGAGGTCTAAAAGTGACAGAGGAGACGAACATCAAAAAGCAGCTAGCGGGATCATTCTTTTTCTCATGCAAGCACACCAAGTGCTGCACAGCTGGATATTTCTTTACAATGCTTGTCTACCAGCTTGCCACCAATTTTCCAAGTATCCAGCAGGATGTGAACAGAGTGATCCATAACAATCCAGCTCTGCTAGACCCAGACACACCTCTCTGCAACCAGATGGAGGCTCTCTTTCTCCAACCTCTCCAGAAACTTCGACTCAGATTGCATGGATGTCCACCTTTGTCATTTGTTGATGATGCACTTGATGGATGTATGTCTGAACCTGAGTCTACTGATCTCATCCTTTCCCCTGCACAGGCTCTTTGTGAGCCTGACCTTCCTGTGACCCACATTCTGCTCACAAGTTGCTCGGAATCCCACATCTCTAAAGCCTTTCAGAATGAAGAGGTGTGCCCATTGGTGTGGGAGATACCCATGAGAACTTCAGGGGAGGGTGGCATCATCTTGTTAGATGGTACAGATGTTGACAATGACATCTGTACTTTCTTGTGGCATTCCTTCAGAGAGCTGAAAAGTCATCATCCTAATTTCCCACAGCCATTGGAGGTTGATCTTGTGAAGCTGGTGAGCTGAGTGGGCAGACATTTTATCATGGTGTCTACGATGATGAAGTTTATTATTGATGATGAAGACAATGATCCCCATGATTGGTTACAGCTGATGCTCCAGCTCATGAGCTCACTGCTACCAGGAATGGAGGTGTACAAGTTATATGATTGTATCCTCTCCACATGTGCCGATCCCAAGCGGGCTTACATGCACTTGTCCATTATTGCCACTCTTGTAGACCCTCTTCCCATCTTGCAAATCTTGATACTTCTTGGCTCTGGTTTGGGAAGGGATGTGCAGACAACACTGATATAGCTATGGTCTGTCATGGATATCCCTACAGACAGCACTCTCCCCATGAATGTCTATCACTCGTCCATTCACGACTACATTTCTGACCCTTCAAACTGCAGCCTCCCTCAAGTATGTGATATCACATCACCTCACTACCTACTCACATGTTCCTCTCTCCGCTTGATGAAGATGATTCCAGCGAGCACAGCTCTCTTGGATGCACTCTCAGAACTGAAGAAGCAAAGCAAAGCTATGGAACCTGAGGACCCCCATAGGTTAAAAGACTTATTAGTGTTCCTTGTTCAGCCACCAGAGCCACTGTCATCTGTCATATGTATGCTGTGGCTTTGAGGAGATCGCACTTCAGATTTAGAATCTTGGCTGGGGACTGTGGACAGACATGCCTGGCTGCACACCCAGGTAGGATGATTCTGGCTGGAGACAATGGCAGGATGATTCTAGTTTCAGACAAAGGGGAGGAGAGACTGGCTGGAGACACAGGGAGGATGAGACTGGCTGGAGACTCAGACAGGATGATTCTGGCTTCAGACACAGAGAGAATAAGACTGGCTGCAGGCTTGGGAAGGACAATTCTGGCTACAGGCTTTGGGAGGATGAGACTAGCTGCAGACTTGGGGAGGATGAGACTGGCTGCAGACCTGGGAAGTATGACCCTGGCTGCAGACTGAGGGAGGACAGGATTGGCTGCAGACTGAGGGAGGACGAGACTGGCTGCAGACTGAGGGAAAGGAAGATTGGCTGCAGACTGAGGGAAAGGAAGATTGGCTGCAAACCAGAGGAGGACAATTCTGGCTGCAGACCCAGGGAGGGAAAAATTGGCTCCAGATCCACAAAGCACAAGACTGGCTGCAGACCCAGGCAGGACAAGACTGGCTGTAAACTGAGGGAGGATGACATTGGCTACAGACCTGGGGAGGATGATTCTGGCTGCAGACTGAGGCAGGATGAGACTGGCTGCAAACCCAGGCAGGACAAGACTGGCTACAGATCCAAGGAGCACAGGACTGGCTGCAGACCAAGAGAGGACAAGACTGGCCGCAGACTGAGGAAGGACGAGACTGGCTGCAGACCCCCTGTGGGCAATTCTGGCTACAGACTGCCAATGGTCAAGTGTGGCAGTCCACTCCCTCAACCTCTGTCTGGGCGACAATGGAAGAATTCTTAAAGACATTGGAAGCAATCAATGAGTATATCATTATCAATGATGTGCTTTTACTGCCAGCTTTTCAAGTCATCCAGCAATTCAAGACCTTGCCAGATTTCTTGATGTTTCTGGTTTTCCTGGTATTAAGACATTCCTCTCATTCCACCTCTACATTACCAGAAAATCTTCTTCTACCAGACAGGGAGATAATTCATGCTATGAATGCCTTTGAGAGGTTCACAAATGAAGCACAAGAACGAAGTCAATCAGCTTCTGACGCTCTCAAGTATGCCTGTCACAACTGGATCATACATCTTTCACGTGCTCCCAATCCATGGGATGACATGCTCAATTGTATATTCCAGGCTTTTTGGAATGATCATACTATCCCCTGGCTGGAAATGGAGTGGTGTTTGAAAGGTCTGCAGTCTTGCCTTGCCATCTTATCTGAAGGACAGGAAATTGTGAAGGTGTGTATTTTGATGATTTAAGGTAGCCACAACTAATGTCACCTTATCATATTCAGTCCATGACATGACACCTTGGAATTCTCTCTTATCTTCAGTTCAGACTCTTGAGCCATTGATGCGTAGCCTGGCACTAGCACTCAGATCCTTAATGCCCCATTGGCAGTGGTTACAAACCACAGGCAGGTGAGATTCACATCAGCGCCAGCACATAACGTAGTGTCCTGTGGTACGACAGACATCATGATGTATTTCACTCTTTGTTATTAAAAATGTTGTCTCAAGTACTGCTGAACGTTAGACCCTATTGTCGATACCAACTTCGAGCTCTTGAGCAGTAGTACGTTCAAAAAGCCTGTTTGCACTATCACGGCAGTCACTCACATCAGCAAATTGCCTATGAAATAATGCTGGGTCATCGTTAAATTGTGATCGCACTGTGATACTCATGCTACGGGCGGTCACTCTCGCGACATGTCAAATTACTCTTATTTCATACTATCACCTGATCCGTTGAAAAGTACTCGGAGGCTGGACTCTACAACTACTATACCTTCAAAGTTCAAATAACACCATGGCACATGCAGTCTTGCAGTCCCTCGTCATTGTCTTGCAGCACTCCAGGTATTTTCCATATCCGTGGTATACTGCGGGTACCTTCAGATCGCCCTTGAATGAAGTCGCCCATAAGCCTCATATCTAACACTAAAAGAGGGCGCAAAATATCGCTCCAAGCAATTTTTCTCAGCAACGGCGCGAGGGCAACAAGCGCAGCTCGGGCAGCGTCGTATCCAGCTTTGCCTGCATGTATTTTTTCCGTCGCGAAATCAAGAGCAGTGCAGGCACGAGTGGACGTGCGTTGACCTCGTATATTCGCTGTCATAAACGTGTTGAGATGGGTGAATACACGGAATGTTCTGTCGAACTTCATTCAATGAGCATACCAGAGTTCCCATTCACAATCACGAAGCTTTTGAGGTCATCGATGCACCCGAACTTCACATTCTCCCATCCGGGTTCTTGTTCAATATGTCGTCTGAATCCTTTGTGAGCACACTAAAATCTGGCGAACTGCGACTTACCGAGTGCCATAGGCCAAGTTGGGCATGAAACAGAAAAATTATGGACTCGAAGTCTGAATCCTTGGTGGGCACATTATCATAAGTCTAGCGAACTGCAACTCACCGAGTCCCTAGGTGTCTTCTAAAGTCAAAATAGTCGCACTTAAATTCTATAACATCAAAGTTGTCCAATTTGGCGAGGCGCCTACGGCCCTATTCTCTTCACTGGACGATCTGTGTCTAAACCGGTCCTGACATAGGGAATACCTATCAGCTTGTAGGTAACTAAACGAACTACGCCATGGATACCAGACTCAACCGGCCTCTCCAAAACTTGGACGACTGGCGTGGAAGTTATTCCATAGGAAGCGTGAGCTCGACGGAGCTCGACAAAATGGAGGCAATCCTCCAAATAGTTGGCATCATACACAATCTTCCCTGCTGGAACAGCCAAGATTGGGTAGAAGACGCTCTCAGATATCTCAAATATTGAGGTTTTTCTGACATCATCGGAGAATCGGAGTTGGCGAATCTACAGGATAGAATGTGTTGGCTGCTGGAGTCTTAGCCCGGAATTCAGAAGGCGGTGGAATTTGTCGGTGACTCGCGTGCGTCATATTAAGCCGACATTGTGCGGAAATGTACCGGCCCTTCTGGAAGTTGCAAGTCGAGTGGGCACGGGTTCAACAGTTGTGGGGTCCGATTCCGCCCGAAAGGCATTGAAAGAAAGGTGTAGTCCAAGCTGTGTAGAAATAGTTTTGTAATCTACATTTCTAATTTTGTATCAGTGATTCAGCGTCACGTCCCCGATAATAAGGGTGGAAGTAGCGAAACCTTTGAGTCATCAACGTCCTCTTGTATAGAGCTGAAATCGTACTGTGTGCGATTGTGCATGTGCTGTCCAGATGCCTCACCCGTGAAGTCGAGGAGGTACATCCCGTTCACACGAACGATTACCTAGCTAGCCATCGCCTGGTTCAAGTTTGCGAGACCGCTTGCGAGTATGTTGGCTTTCACCATAGTAAGTCGTGGTTACGTGATGCACGCAAAAAAGGAAAAACCTAGGAGACCCAAACGTTTGCAAACAGTCACCGATTCCCACTGCCGATCTGGGTATACACAATAAATTTGTATTTGGCCCTTTTCAAAATATACACGCAAAACGGCAACCAGCCTCGAGTGATTCTTCACTCCTCACTGTTGTACCACTTCCCACCACACCACCTTCTCCTTCCCCTTCTCACCATCTACCTTTTCCTCAGCCCATACTTTCGCATCTCCAACAGCAATCCGCATCCCCGCCCAACATGCATCCACAAGCCCTGCACCACCCGCCATACCCATAACAAGACTCGCAGCATAGTAAAAATTCGCGTTCCCACGGCCCTCGCTCACCCAGAGCACATGTTGAAGTGGGAGGAGGAGCGCAGCGTGGAGGTGGAGGAGTGTGGTGATAATGGGGTGTCGGAGGTCTGGAAGAGTGTGAGTGAAGTGAGTGCGAGATGGGGTAGGGTTGTCGGAGGGAAGGGGACTTACAACCATGTACTTCAGGGAAGATGGATATCATGCTTAGGAACAACCCTGGGTCTGCGAGTGTTAAGTACGCTTTGAACGTCCCCAGGACGCCTACGAGGAGGAACGCGGCATAGAGGGGATCGTGTCTACAGGTGGGGCATGTCAGAACCCATAAAAATTAGCACGTATATTATCAGGAATCCCTTACTGAAATTTTATGCAGATAGGTAATATGTATATGATAAGGTGAACCTAACTATGCAGTCAAATGGCATGCGCGCACGAAGAAAACGAGAACGCACGGAAAAGACCATAAGGAAGAATGGCCTGAAATGGTCGAACATCTCGGTGAAGAAGTACCACCAAAGGCCGGGGTTGGGCGTGAGGTCTGGTAGCGTGAGGCTGGGATGCTGTGTTTATGGACAATCTATCAGGAATTGGAAGTCGACTTACCTTGCGCCCCATGACGCCCCGACCCAATTCCAGCTTCCGCCAGCAATGATGCATGCTGCGCCTACAAGGACAAGCCAGTATAGTGTGAACTCGCCAAAGAGGAGCGGTATACGTTTGAGGCTACCATGGAAAGGACGTGGGGAAGCGAGGTGAGACACAGGAGACGAGACGAGGAGCATGAGAATTGGGAGAAGTAGAAGGATAGAGGAGGGGGTGAGGTGAACTGCGAATGCGATAGCGAGGAGAGCAGAAGATACTTTGCCTGGAATTGGAGAATGCGTGTGAGCCAATTTGGACATAGGCGGTAGGACGTACCTTCAGATGCAAACATGAGAGCAAGGAGAGTGAGGGTATTTTCGAATGTGGATGTCGATAGCGCAAGTGATGGAAGGAGGAGGTAGGGATTCAGCAAATAGCTGTGCGGTGCATTAGGTGCGTACTGGAAATATGCTGATGGAACGCACACGCTTACGATGAGGTTTTCTACATCGAACCTCGTACCCTTTTGAGATGATAAACCCTGGCGTGCGCGCCATATGCGAAGAAGTGCCCATGTCCCCACTGCATCAGATACAGCCCATACAATTGGAAGGGGAGGTACTATGGTTGAAAATAAGGAGAGTAGGAGAGGCGACTATGGCGCAGATGGTCAGCACACGACATGCATGACATGTGGTCCACTGGAGTGGCATACATGGTGAAAAGCTCCTCCCACGTATGGGTCGATATTATTATCGAGGAGCCAGAGACCTTCGTTCACTAGTATTGACATGCATTAGCAATGGAATCACTTGGCTAGCAGTGCTTTGGTACATACAGCGAAGGTAGGAGGTCAATGGAGAGCTAAGTTGATGGTCATGTTTGAGAAGATTTTGACCTGGAAGAGGCAGAACTGCGAGCAGAAGGCGAAGACATACCAGCACTGAAAACGCTGGCGGCGTATTCATCACGTTTTGGTCACTTGCAGGAGAGTTTTGCCGCTATTACTGAGTATATATGGAAGGTATCGACTTCTGGTGGCAGTGTGGCAGTGCTCACGTTTGGCCAGTACTAGTAGGACCTACATTCGCTGGGTTGTACAGGCAGACATTTTTATTGTTGGAAATGATGGAGGGTAATTTCTTTCGCAGCATGTGCAGCCAACTCGATTCCATCTGGTTCGATTGGACGTTGCGTCCAATTTTTGCACTCAAAAAGTAAAGCGGGCAAGGCTTTGCCATCCTATTATTCGATCGTATATAATCCCATCTTCACCACGATGCCTCCTACAGCATCCCAAGTTATCGTACAGCAACATCATGTCTCCCATGTATTATCCAACTCGTTCTTCACGGGATACCCCTGGTCCCAACACCTCGCCTCCAGCTTTGCACGATGCTCGCTATGACGGGTGGCCCAGCCCTCCAATACAGCTTCCCCGTGTCGCTTTGCCGTCGTTCAACAAGCCTGCTGAACGGCGCGTCGTATTTGCAACCGACACCCCGTCAAACCGTCGTCCCCGTGATGGTAACGCCACTCATACCCGTAAGCAGCTATTCACATGGCATGTGACTCCCTATCTCAACCGTTATCAGAACCTCATTCGGTTCATCTTCGATATGACACTCACCCACCTGCAAATTCGGGGGTGCAAGGTATTCCCCCTTCCTAGTTGTTCTACCCCCAGCTCATTCGTGGCCAGTCAAATACCGACACCACAACGTTTCTAACTCGTGCATGTGGAACGGTAGGTTCCTGTTGTCGGATCCGATTCTCATACAATCTGACTTGATGATAAAGGTGGCACCCACCAGAATCAAGGCGCTTCTGATATGTGCACCGCAGCTCGACATGACAAAGAGAACGCAGCGATCAAACGTAAGCGTTCTCATTCGTTTAGTTGCAACTGCCAAGATGTTCAATTGCGCACTTTCCTAGATGACCCTGTACGACGAGCAAAGAATTCAATACCATTGATCGACAAGGACACACAAATCGGTGCGGCCCAGACCTAGCTTGTAACCATGATTATATTAGATTGATCTTGATGCCTCCTGCCAGCTTACCCCCTCGCAGCACCTTGCGTGCCACTGGTATATGATCTGCGATACCCACCCAATTCTTTCTGTCTTCCGCCATCATCTCCATATGAGGAACGGGGATCTGAGTTCCTTCGAGTGCCACTCACGCCAGCACGACACAACCAGATACGGCTGATCAGCCAAGACTTTCCCTGGGCATTCAACATTGGCCCCAAGCCCGGTGCCGCAGAACAGGGCGTGACGTGTCTTGACGTCCTCACTGCGCTACACGCTGCATTGCAGCGTCCACTCTCAGACACAGAGTGGGGAGCCGCTGCAGAGGATAAACATGCGAGCCTAGTCAGAGCGCGCGATTGTCGGCTAAATATGAAACCTGCTGTGCGCGGGAGCTCCAGTACCGGGGCATGCACCACTGCCAGGCCTAGAGTGCGATTTGTATCTGATGTGGATGCACAACCTGCGCAACGAGAGCCTTCGATACTCCGTGTGGACTGGCTTGGATCTCGTGTTATGTTTGGAGGGCTCATCAAGGATGAGACATTTGCGAGGAGGAGGCTCATTCCGGGTGCGAGAGAGCCATCTGAGACGTGGGTTGTGAGGTTCCAGAGCTTATCATAATAATCATGTTTGGACGAAATGTACATACCTTTTAGGTATCAGTTATCGAGATTTTGGGACATGTAATTAGTGCATGCGCATCACAGGGGTTATTGTTCTTCATATGGCAAGTTTCCGACAACATCCGAAGGCTGATTTTGAGTCGCGTTCGCCCACAGCTTCAAAACTTCACTCACCGTACTAGTACTGAGGAGCGTCGCAAAGACATACATACATCCACGATGGTCGTAGGATTATAGCACCGTCACAGGTCTAGGTCAGCCCTCAAGTAGGTCTGTCTAACTTTTCAAGTTTACTAACTCCGAGTCAAATCAGATACCAGCTGCTTTACCCACTTCCAAACGCCCCAAGTACTCGCCGAACGCACCGGAGTAGTACCACTTCGTCTTGAAACTGTACCTCCTCACTCCATCACTCTAACCGGTCTGTTTTCTCTCACTGAACCAGGAACGTTCATGGTATTGAGAGTAGTGGCGTCGAAGGGTCTAAAATTAGGAGAAGATGAGAGACGGCTGTGAGGAAGATGTGCAGCACATGGCATATCAGACATGTACGTGATGAACAACCTGTCTTACGTCTATGTAGATCAAGTTTTTTTTGTCAAGATTGTGGAACGAATCAAAAGTGGAGATGGGCAGTGCGCATGCGACACGGCGAAAGTACTGCGGTGGTCGGTCCATCATGATGTTTCAGAATGCTCCTTGAAATAGTAGCAGAAGATGCCATAAGTGAAAGTTCCGCCTTACCTTGCATCACCAGCCTGAGCGCTATTGGGATGTCGTGAGACGTACGCCAATTGCCGGTTTTACTGCTTGACTAAAATAACTTGCTTCCACAGGATCTCCAGAATCGAGACGTGTGTGCTACAAGTGCCTACTACTAGGGC